AAATATTAAATATGTATATTTTACCACATACAAAAAAGAAGCATTACATATACTTACAAATTGCTTTTAATTATTGAGCAGAGACACTATAAGTGAGACTAATGTTCAACTTTTGGACTTCTTTTTCCTCTAGAGAGTGTGTTTGCTCACCAGAGGAAAACAGAGAGACAGAGAGGAAGAGGGAGAAAACAACCCACAAACAGGGCATGGTCATGCTGTTCTCTTCATTTCTCCATCCTACTGGGACTTGGAGCTCATGTGCACACATGTCCGGCATCTTTCAACCTGCTGGAGTCAGTATTTGAACTACGTGGTCAGCCATATGGGATCCAACTTCTTTAACCACTGGGCCATGGGGCTGGCCATCAGACCACATTTTTAATGGATAAAGATGTAGTTTAATGGGTCAGTTAAATTTACTCAGTTTCATGGTCAGATCTTATCCCCAAATGTAATTTTTATAATTTTCAAAGAACTTTCATATATTTTACCAAATTTAATTTTGATGTCCATACAGTAGTGGTCAAATCGTGTCCCATTATTTTAGATGACAAAGAAGTGAAGTTCAGCAAGATTAAATTACATGTTCAAGTAAGAATGAAATAAGGTAATCCATGTGAATATTTACTACAACTTTGTTACAGTAATCATTCAGTAAGCTTTAGCTATTATCATACTATATTATGATGACGAACGAGATGAAGTGAAAGATCTAGGGACAGGCAGACATTCTACTCCTAGGACCTCCCAGGAAACTTCAAGGGTGCTGCACAGCAGTAATCTTTAAAAATCCCATTGTACAAAGCAATGGAGCCGTCGCATCAGCCCTAAAACATGAAGGAGGCTGGCTATTCATTGTTTTTATTTTTCAGGGAAGTTGATCTTGACCTGATATACACATTGGCAACTGTGAAAGAGGCTTTATCTTTTCATTTTCTCAAACAGCTTCGTGCAAATATGGCTATCTTATCCTTGACTGCTGCATCACTCAGTTTCAAGATGAGAAACAAGAAACCAACCAAAAGTCTGAGGTTTGTGTTCTCGGCCTTGATGATGAATTTCTTTCTAGAGAGACTTCTCTAATAATTGTACTAGCAAAAGAATAAAAAAAATAAAATTAGGGATTTAAAAGCACTAAGCTATTTCTGGGGAGATCAGTCTGATGCTTCCTGAAGCAATAGAATTCCTATGGTCAACCTGCCTCCTGAGCAACCCACTGAGGGGAAAAACCTCCTCGGTGTCCTCTGCACATGGAGATCCTGAGATGCCCGAAGCTAGGGGTCAGATCACCCAGCGGGAGTGATGGTCCATAGCCCTTCACACAGACACACTTATTTACACTGTCCTAACACTGGTCCAGAAACAGCCATTTCTAACAAACCATGAGGATCACCTCAAGGTAGTCTTTGTTTTCTGGATATCAAAATAATTATTAAATTAGTTGAGATCACGAGCACTGTAAAACTGTTTCAGTTTATGGGACAATGGAAAGGGAGCAAGAAGAGGGAAATTTATTTATTATTTATTTAGAGAGATTTCTGCTATAGGGCATATGCGTTCACCAGAGAGACAGATAAAGACAGAGAAAGAAAGCAAGAAATAAACTCGGGGGCGGGTGGCCATACCATAATCCCTTCTTCTCCATTCTCCTCTCAAGATCTTGGGAGGGCCATGCACGCACAAGCGCCTGGCATGAGTTTTAAGACATCAGGTCCATAACTCAAACCACAGTCGACTATGTGGGACTCCAGTGGCATAACCATTACTCCACCCTCTGGTCCCAGGAAATTTATTTTTAATTTATACAGGTCAAGGTAGTGTTTAGTCATCCTTTAGCTCAGGAGACCAGAATATAAATGCATGCCACCCTTTCAAGACTTTGATATGTGACAAAGCTAATCTCTTAAAAAAACTTAGTCATCGTCTTACATACATTTCGAGCGAAGTTATAGATGAGTTTGGAGCAAATAAGTTTTGCTTGTCTAAATGTTAGTCTCCTCCTTGAATTAAGTGAACAAAAACACTGCACAAGTCAAGTCTCCTGAGTATATAATTTCTCTACGAGTAACATAAGAATGAATCATTTTAATCATTTTAAAGATAATTTTATATACAATAAAGCCTAGATTAGACAAAATCTTAAAGAATTTAAAGTTCTTGTTAATTCATTTTTCTGACATAATTTGCCAATCATCAAAAAACACAGTCACGAACCCCAAAATGACAGGCCACATATAAAATGGTAGCCCCATAATATTATACCACATATGGGTCAGTTAGTGGTGTGGAGGTTAAGGAACTGTATCCCACATGGCCAATAGCACAGTTCAAATCCTGACTCGATATCTTGAAAAATCACACAGGGCATGTGTGTACATGCCCAAAATCTCAAGAGGCAACTAGAAGAGAAAGGATGGAGACATAGCCATCCTCGCTGGGGATGACTCCTCATTTTCCCTCTCTTTTTCACTATCTCTGTCTGGCAAGCACACACATACTATAGCAAAAACTAAAAAAGAAAAAAAAAGATTATACTATATAGCTTAGGTATGTAGCAGACTATACCATCTAGCTTGGGAAAAGTACACTCTAACAAAACACTTCTAGGAACATTCCCATAATTAAGCATCACATGATTATACATTTTTAAAAGAGTTACTCATTTTAATTTCATTTATTCATTCACTTATTTTTAACTTGACCAGAGACAGACACAGAGAGAGAGAAAGAAGAAAAGTGAGAAAGGAAGCCACCAGGTCCAGGACTCGAACCCTGGTTAGCCATGTGGGAGCATCCACTGCCTAAACCACTAAGCCACCTGCTGGCCCCCATAATTATACATTTTTATTGACCTCATCTGTGATTTAAACTCTTTTTATGTATCCAAACCCATCCTCTTTCACGCAACTAAATATAGCCTGGCTCCCACAGGACACTTTGTCCATGACAGTAAGTAACTTCTGCATGTAACTAACTCCTGCATGGTATTGCCCGGCTCTATTCTTCTGTTGCATCTTGCAGTCTTATTGATACTATTTACTGACTTTTTTAAAAGATCTAAATTCATCAGTTATGTAAAAAATACTAGCCCTGTGAAAAATGATGCTATCGTTTTAACAAAATTAAGTAAGTAACATAGTTAAAAGATATCTACATCCAGCAGAGAATTTGCTGATTTTGAAATGTGGAGAATTTTAACTTAAAAATGCTGAAGAATTTTAACTTAAAAACGCTGAAAACAAATACAGTGTTGCTACAGATAGTTCATTTACAATGTTTCTAGGCATGGTACAGGGATAGAAATTCAGATTCAAGATAAAAACAGTAAATTTAGTTCGATCAGTGTTCCAGAGGAAGTTGAGATGAAAAAATAGTTCAGAACCCCTTCTAGACATCAGAGAAGGGCCAAATCACTGTTGATTATACTATTATAAAAACGTCCTGTATTCTCTGATAAAATATGTTCCTATCCTCAGTATAGACACCGATCTTATGTCACAGTTTTCCTGCTTCCGCTTCCCAAGTAGCTAGAACTACAGGTGCAAGCCACACTTTAAGGGGAGACCAGGAATCAAACCCAGGCCTCCCATGTGGCCTCAGCTGCCAGGTAGCAACAGCTACCAGCCCTATCGCAGCTGGATCTAGATACCAGTTTCATAGGGAATATAACTGGCTCTAAAAATGTTGCTCTAGAGAAATAACTTTTCAGCAGTTTGAATGATTTATTTATTTATTTATTTATTTATTTTCGTTTAGGAATCCAAAAGCCTCTTGGTAATATGAGGTCTGACTTATTTGTATCTGAGGACACTTTTTGGTTAGCCCTTAAATCAGCCAATCCATTAACATCTTTATTCTTGAATCATTTGAGATTTGCCACATCCAACTTACATTTTCTCATAAGAATGAGAAATATAAAAGAGTAATCAATGGCAACAAACAATTAAAATAAATGTCAAAACCCACTAGCTTGTTTTTATGCTATTTCATAAACCTCCTTACCAGGAATTTTAGTAAAGTGACTTATATATTATTATTGCGTTGAGCACATTAAAATGCTTTTGTTCACTTTGTAAACCCCATATGTAGGAAACTGCTGCACTCAGATTTGTTGCCCTCGATTTTGTGGTTAATATAATCAGGTTAATATGTTAAAACGAACTTGATACAGAAATTATTAATGAGTAGAACAAGGTCACTACTTCTGAGCTGAGGTCACTTACAAAGAATGCACAAATGAAATTAAGGTTGACTTTTATTTACTCGACTATCTTCTTACATTGGATTCCTTTGGCAACATATCTTTAAACATTTAAAGCCCTGTTTACAAGAAGGCTCTGAAAGAAGCTTCAAACCATTATGCCCCTAATTGAATTCCCCAGGAGTCCAGTAAACTCAGAGGAATAAAGAAAAATCGTAACATTTGCTAAATCATCTCAAAACATATTTCACTGCAAGGTTATGTCACCTATTTTTTGAAGTTCAAAGATGAATGAAAAACTATTACTGAATGCTTCATTATTTCAACTAAAACCCAAAAGAATTTTACCTATTAGTGGTAAGCTAATTAAATCATCCCAGTTTTAACTTTTTTCCAAGAGAAGTCTGACAATAAACAGTAGCACCATCTTATACTATATGTGACCACTTGCCCATAGTGCAAAAGCTCTTGGGAGAAAAAGATCTTTAACCAAAGACAATTATTCACAATAAAGGTCTGAGAGAGAGCTGACCAAAATGTTGCCGTCTCCAGGGAAGGCAGCATTTTCTCTGTGAATGCTGAACAAACTCAAGTGGAAAAAGAGAAAGTGCGAGTTTTCAGCAACCAATTAGTTTATTACAATGCCTCCTCTTCCGAATTCTAATTTTACTTTAAAATAAGCTCTGCTGATCTGGTAGTCCCAGGTCCCTTCTCTGCTCCAGTGTTTGTTGTGACTGCTTTAGCAAAAACATGTGGATCTGAGCACTTCCCAAAGAACGTTAAATCTCTCTCTACTTACCTGGTTTGTATGTTATTCCAGGAGGGAAGAGGAATCCCTGCTGGGCAGCAGCAGCTGCTGCCAGGGTCCGCTGGTCATGTGGAAAAATTGGGATCATGAGCGGAGGCATGTGACCCTGAACCTGCTAAACAGAAGAGAGCCTATGATCAGACAGAGCAAAGTATGCCAGACGTGTTTGTGTCCCACTCCTGGCCACGGGATGCCCACACAACCACCCACCTCTAGCCTCATTCCACATCTACAATCTGAGAAAAAGCAGGCAAAATCCACCACACCCCTGGTTTTAGGTCCCATTAAGCGTGCACCAAGGACATAACTTCGCTGTGAATTTGCCTCCACTGCTTCCAGTAACTACAGTTCCTGGTTTTCTTTTCTCTTGACTTTTTTCCTTCTCTTCCCTTTCTTTCTTTTGAACAAAGAACTGGAAGGAATGTTCGCTTCTTTTCTTACACTGCACAACAACGTTGAGAGGTCTGCCCTTTCACCTGCTTTGCATTCTGTGTTTTATTTTGAAAAGTCTTTAGTAGCCTTGCTAAGAAAATAATGTCTAATTGTTATATATTCCCAAAGCCTCATCTTCCCGGGTTAGGTATCTTATTTCAAAGCCTTAGTGCATTATGTGAAACATATAGCTCTTCAGATTTAAGGCTACTACATCGTGGCTCCCAATTAAACTAATATTCTTTGCCACACACACCTCGATGTAAAATATAAATTGCTTGTCTGGCTAAGCAGTTTTACAGCTTTATGCACTACCATGTAGCGCAGTAATTATGGAGTTGTATTCGAAGAGCATTTCATAATAAATCCTACTATATCAAATTTCATTTGACCTCAATAAATGTATCAAAGAGCACAAAAATGCAAAACAGAAAATCTTCACTCTATATCAGTATTTGTATTCCATATAAAGAAAATAAGCGCTATGACAGAATCATGCTTCTGAAAATGACGTTTTAATTTCCTAGCTCCCTTACACTGTGTACGCGGCCCTGATTCCAGGAAAGCAGGACAGGAAGATTTTGTCTTGGCTTTTAGGGGGGGATTTTTATAGTTTTAACCAAAGGACTTGTCTTACTTGTCTTACTTACTTTAGTCAAAACTAAAATGTACCAAAAGAAATTATCCTTAAGTTCAAACAGTGTCTTTACTGTTATAAACCGGTTTCATTCTGTCCCATTTAAGATACAAACCTTTACCAGTAATACTATCAACCCCAAGCCCATCCCCCTGTTTAAATTCCTAAATCTTTTCTTTAGGCAAAATTCCATACACCGGCTGATGACCCTGTTCAAATAGCACCAACTTGCCTTGTCCTGTCCCTGTTACTTATCTAGCTAGGGACACAGTGCAAAACTGCTTCTGTGTGGGTCTAAGAGAACTCATTCACAAAGAGGTTTTCTCTAGGGAAATCCCTAAGATGTAGGTTAATAAAGGGCAGGCAAAAAATAAACACTTTACAGTATTTTTCTGAATTCATTTCTCAGGAAAATCAACTTATAATAAAAAGGTCTTTGTGCAATTACTACCTTGCCAGTGGGGCGTGAAGGAAACTAGCTTTGAGCAGCTATTTCTTCCATTTTAGCTGAGGTAAGCCTAAGTTTTGTACGTTAGGGTACAAACTTAGTCTGTTCAATTGGAGCTGATCCCCTAGTGCCCAGGTCTTGCCTTTAACCCCGCAGAAAAACATGGGGGTTTGCTGTTCAACTCCAGCTTCTTGTGATCTCATGCAAATCTGAGATATCAAAGAAGAGGGCACTGTTCTATGCCGGAAAATAAAACACAGTCAATTTTGTGGGTGACTATTGTTCAGTGTAAGAGGACATCAAAGGAAACCGTTTCATTTTCCTTTAAAAAATGTGGTCCTGGGATGTATCTAATGCACAGTGCAGATGCCTCACACTAAGAAACAGAGCGAGAGAGTGAGGAGTCTGGGCATCACATCTATCCATTCCTTCCTTCTTCCATTTAACAAATGCATATTAAGTTGCTACTATCTGTTAAGGATCTTGAAAAGTAGCAAAAGAAACCAGAGATATTTAATTTGGGAGAAAGAAGATATGAGGTTATCTTTAAACATATAAAGAAATAATGTGTGGAAGCCAGGCCAGACTAACCCTGTGTGCTTACAGAGAGTAGAAGGAAGGCTCAAAATGAAGAGATAGATATTTTAATGCAAAGAAGAATTTACTACTAATAAGTTACTTAAGAATCACTCTGATTAAAGAGGCAGTATATGCCCTTTCTCTAGAGGTAGTCAAGTTAAGTCTGCCTACCCTGTGTGTTGGAGATGTATTAGGGAGATCTATAACAAAAAACTGATAGAGATAAAAACCTAGAGTCTTGGGGCCAGCAGGTGGCATGGTAGCTAAGGCACTGAACTCCCACATGGCTGACCACAGGTTGAATCCTGGACCTGGCAGCTTGCTTTGTCACTCTTCCCTTCTCTCTGTCTCTCTCTATAAGCACATGTGCCCTATAGCAAATTTTTAAAAATAATAATGATAATAATAATGAATAAAATTAATTATTCTTTAAAAAACTTCTATAGAGTCTTTTCAACTTTATACTTCTTTTATTGTTTTTAAATGAACACAAAGAAGATAGTGTGGTGATGTCCATATCTTCATCCATTCATTCAACACCTTTATTAAGAACTTAACTATGTGCCTACGAACACTTTATTGGCAAACAAATTTGAGCTCAAAGCTACCCATTGCCACTTCCTTGGCTGCGTGATCTTGAACAGTTGTTTAACCTTTCCGAGTCAATTGCCTCATGTAAAAACTGAAGCTAAGTAAGTATACTACCTTACCTGGTTATTGTGAGGTTTAAATAATGAAAGGAACGCTTGTGGCACAGTGCCTGATGTAGTGATGTAATATCACCGTAGATGCTAGATCCTTGCTCTTTTCTTACATAGTCTGCATATTTAATACTAAAAAAATGATCAAATTACTGGAAAAAAATGGCTCTTACCCATAACCCTATGTCAAGAAAGAAAACATGAGACAACTAAATAATCCAGTTTGGCAGACAGAGGCTTGTCATGTTCTTAGCAGACACCACACCTCACAGAGTATTAGCCCACCCCAAGTATCTAGATAATCATGGAAAAGATGAGATGGGATTACAAGGATCATTTGAAGACATGCTTTGGAGTATTTAGTATTATTCATTAAATAGTATCTGAGGATAAAAACATAATTTTCTTTTTACATTGGTTGTCCAAGCTCTTCAGATCATGAGACAACACAAGAGAATAAAGGACAATTAGGGACAGACCATAAATCTTGAATCTTGGTGTCTGAAGATATTTCCTTTGCATCTGTCCATGCTCATAAGATAACTAAGTAAGCTTGGAGGGTCATGTTTAATGCCGAAGAACTGTAGAATTTTCATACTAACATAAACTGTAAGAATTTAGATAAGTTCTTTCCTGTCCATACTCCACCACAAGGTTAGGTACGTTACTTTAAATGCTAGCGATTAGCCCAGAGGCTGTTCCAGTAAGTTGAAAAGTAAAGTAAAGTAGTGAGAGAGACTGAGGACATTGTGAGAGCGATAGTAACGATAGGCTCACAGCGTTGGCCAAAGCTGAGAGCTGACCTAACCCAGTAGTTCTCAAAGTATGGTATCTGACCAGCAGCACCAACAGCACCCACAAACATCTTTGAAAAGTAGGTGCTTGGACTCCATACCATACAGCCTGAATCAGAAATTATATAGGTGGGCCCAACAATCTAACTTTGAGACTAAAGTTTAATCTGAAGCAATTAACTCTCAAACTTTACTGTATATCAGAATCGATCAGAGGGCTTGTTAAGACACAAATTGGTTGGGCCCACCCTCAGAGTCTTTGATTCGGTAGACTTGAAGTGGGAGCCTCAAAACGTGTATTTCTAACAGGGTCCCAGGCGAAGTTGGTGCTGCTAGTTCAGGGACCATTTTTTAAGAATCAGGAATCTAATTCCAACCTCACAATTCCTACCTCACAATTCCTACGTAGGGAAACACGGGTGGCTACCGAGGTCAAAGAGACAAGCTCTGAAAGGGCTGGAGCATAGTGCAGTGGTTAAGCACTGCGCAGAGGGAGTCACTTGGCTGACCACAGTCCAACTCCACTCCGGCAGCTTTGAAAAATGTGCCAGGCATGTATGTACATGTCCAGGATCCTGTCCAGACAGAAAAATGCAGGAAAAAAGAATTGCAGCAGGAGTAGGCCCTGTTGGGTGCTGCTCACATCTCTCCTTGGTGAGCATGCCCTCTGGCCAAAAAAGAGAGAGAGAGGAGCTCAGAGTTACACTGACTATTACAGAGTTTGATCATGAGTCTAGGAACAGCTAATCATCTTGTCTGGTGGTAGAAAATAGAGGAAATCACTTGAGTACACTCTTACAGGAGAGAAAACCTGAAGGTCTCCAGTTGAAAATAAGTTTGTGTTTCAGAGGTGCATTGTTATAGTTTGGATACTATGAATATTATTCATTTCTAAACAAAAGACTTCCTTCCTCTTATTTTTTTTACCTAGAACACATTTGATCATTTAGCTAAAAATGATAACATAGCTCCTAACTTATTTTAAGAAAACAATGACATGAAAACCCAAAGTGCCCTTTCTTAAAGACAAGCCAGGATATTCAGTAGCTAGTTATAATCTAGGCTGAGAGAAGACGATGGAAAGACCCTCTCTCAGCTCCAATTATACAAGTAGTGAGAGTGATGATGATGATGATGACCATGGCAGTAATATTTTTCAATGTTTTCTCTACAGTAAGCACTGGAAAGGTGATGGACAAGCCCTATCTCATTTAATCCTCAAGATCCTGAGGTATTTACTGTTATCCTATTCATTTAATGAGAAAGACAAAGCCATGAGGTCAATTACTTCATCGACTGAAAAGTGGCAGAACTAGGATTCAAGATAAGGTTTATCAGGGTCAAAGTTTATTTACACTGTAAAGTTCCAAATTATACTGGGTCATCGGAAAAGTCATGACTTTTTTTCTATGTTTGCTATGCAAAAAATGTGCCATGACTTCTCTGAAGACCCAATATTAAGCATGAAGTTATCTTTGACTCAACAGATCTAAATGAGATAAGGAAGAATTCTTTGTGATAATG